AGACTTCCATCGAGCCGGTTGCTGGTGCATTGGTTGCAAGAGCTAGAAGTCCAAACCGTGGAAGAAGGTCGCAGTCTAGAGTGGGGCATCCTGCAGTTGGTAGGAATCAGTGTGCCTTTTGTAGAGAGGATGGACATTGGAAAGCCGAATGCCCAAAATTGCAAGCTGTGAAGAATAAAGGGAAAGCTATTCAAGCTTCAGAGGTGAATATTGCCAAGGCTAGTGGCGATGTTTCAGATTCAGATTCAGATTCTTCGGGCTATTCGTGCCCAGCTCTTCCGTCAGTTGATGTTGCCGACTCCACCGAGTGGATGTTGGATTCTGGTGCTACTTACCACATATGCCCTAGAAGGGATTGGTTCTCCAGCTTTCAGGAGTTGGAAAGAGGGGATGCTGTTCTCATGGGTAATGATCACAGATGCCCTATTGGTGGTATTGGTACCGTTCGGATTCGGATGAGTGACGGGATGATCCGGGAGTTGGCTGATGTGAGGTTCGTTCCTCAACTGAGGAAGAACATCATTTCACTTGGGGTATTGGAGGCATCAGGCTATAGGGTGATCTTGGCGGATTCTCGCTTGAAGGTCACATCGGGGTCCATAATTGTGATGAAGGGAGTCAGGCGGAGTAACTTGTATTATCTACTTGGGAGCACGGTAGTTGATAGGGCGCTGACTACTTCTATGGCTAGACTGTGGCATTGTTTGGTGCTGGGATATATTGTTGGTTATACCGTGCACAGATTGTTGAGGAGTGCTATGACCTGCAGATTGAAGTCCTGTGAGCACATTGGTATGAGCAAGAAGACCGAGGTGGAGTTCAGCACTTCTATCCATCGATCGAGAGGTCTTATTGGAGGTGTTCAGTCAGGCATTTGGGGGCTTTCCGAGGAGGCATCATCGGGAGGTAATCGTTATTTTGTTTCCTATGTTGGGGATTGTACTAGGCATATTTGGGTTGCAACCAAGTCCCGTTGGTATAAAGACCTAGTAGTCCGCAACAGTTGGAGGAGGTGTATGGGCAGAAAGGTTACCAGTCGTACTTATTCTAGTAGGAGTCCTTTCTTGCATTGGTGCCGAGCTCACGGCAGTTGGAGACACTTCAGAGGGAAGGAGACAGTGGGGCGACGTGATGAGATGGCGGATTTAGTGAGCCGTTCCTTTCTGGAGGAGGATCGGTATTGGTTGTCGAGCAGTGGATCTGGTATTCAGGCTTCGACAGGTTTGGGTCATCTTATGTGGTTGCCGACTGCTGCGTGTAGAGTTGTTAGATCTGGTGGAGCTGTTTCAGATTTTGGTCGGCGTCGGATATTTGGCTACCCAGCACTTGGTCACATCGTTGATGTGAGGTTGGATCCGATTGCGCAGTTGAGATTCAGGAGTTCATTTGGTTATCAGTTGGGAGCTTCTGAGTTTAGTCTGAGCAGGTTTGTCACTTTGGACTCTCGGCAGGTGGAGAGTATTGATCAGGTCAGAGGGATATCGCAGCGGGTGGAGGTTGATGCTACTCCACATTGGGTGGGGACTTTCCCACATACTCCAGGTCATTCTGCATTGGTTGGGATTCCAGCTGAGGTGGCACAGCGTGGGAGTCATTTATTTATGGGTGCAGATGATGAGGTAGTTGATTTGGATGCAGCTGATGGATATGTTTTGGATACGGCCATTGTTACATCTCAGGTGGAGGTGTTTGGATCGCTTCAGTTTGAGGTCGTTGATGATGCTATCAGCCGCAGGTTGGATTGAGGGCCTTTGGAGGCCCATATGGTGAACTACGTGAAGGCTTGATTCCTTGGGCAAGAGGATACGTAGGCAGTCTTTATGATGCAGCCGATTTGGTGAGCGACATCGACATTTGGGGAGAGTGTTCGCACTCCCATTTGGGTCTCAGCAAGTGAGGCATTTGGTGTAGTCGGTGTAGGCTCAGTTGTTTGGTGAGTAGACACAGTTGGTTTGGGGTTGAGTGTTCACACTCCCGTTTTGGATCTCGACGTGTTGTGATTGGAGTCCGTTGTCATGAGTCCGTTGCCATGGCATACTGGGTGCAACAGTTGAGGTATTGGTTTGATCGGTGTCGGCTCAGTTTGGTAGAATCTTCGCCGAGGTGGAGATTTGAAGAGATAACAATAGAGCATTTGTGATCATTCCCCATGAGCACGAAATCCCCTCTTTCCAACTCCTGAAAGCTGGAGAACCAATCCCTCCTAGGGCAAATGTGGTATGTAGCACCCGAATCCAATATCCACTCTGTAGAGTAGGCAACACAAACTGACGGCAGTGCAGATAACGAGTAGCCCGAAGAATCCGAATCTGAATCGTTGCCACTAGCCTTGACAACATTCGCCTCTGAAGCTTGAATAGCTTTTCCCTTATTCTTCCCGGCTCGATCAACTAACTTTGGGCAATCGGCTTTCCAATGTCCATCTTCTTTGCAAAAGGCACATTGATTCTTACGAACTCCAAGATGTGCCCCTCTAGACTGCGACCTCCCACTACGGTTTGGACCCTTTGCTCTTGCGACCAACGCCCCCGCTACCGGCTCAAACGAAGTCTCCTTATCCTTCTTTCGAAGCTGATAATTCACAAGTGCAGCGGTGACCTCACTATACGAAAGAGATGCCTTCCCATTAATAAGAGTAAGAACGAAGGTCTCATATTCCTCGTCAGGCAAGGAACTCAATAGCAACAACGCCTTGTCCTCATCTTCAATCTTAACATCCACATTCGCCAAATCCGCAAGAAGCTTCGTGTAGTGGTTCATGTGATCACCAATGGAGGTTCCTTTCTTCAACTGGAAGCGGTAAAGCCTCCTCTTCAAATGCAAGCGATTCTCCACACTCTTGGTCAAATACTTGCTCTCAAGGATCTCCCAAATCTTCTTTGCAGAAGTCTCATTGATCACATCATACTTTAGATCTTGAGTGAGACAAGACCTAATCACACCACACGCCGTTCGATTCATCTTTTTCCAAACCTTCTCATCAATGTTGTCCGGTTTCCCGTCCAACTCCAACGTATCTTCCAAATTTTGCGCGTTGAGCGCATCCATGACTTCGCATCGCCAAAGTCCAAAATTGTTTGTGCCATTGAACTTTTCCACATCAATCTTCATTGAGTGGATATTCAAGCTTTGGACGGTCTTCACGCCGGAAGTACTGCCCACAACTCCTTCTTTCTCGGCCATAATCCTCAAGGCACCACCAAACCAATGCGGAAACAAACGAGAAATAGATCCAAACTGAAAAAGACGAGATTTTTACAAAAAAAGATCCCACCTTTATCACCAAACGAAGCCCTAGATGAACTTCCAAAGCGATCTACTCCTCCAAATAGCCCAAGCGTTGCCCGTGCTCTGATACCACTTGTTGTGACTGATGCTTTGAGAAACCAAACCAACGAACGCCGAGAGAAAGACCAAACAAAACACAAACACCAAGGTTTTACGTGGTTCGGCAAATTGCCTACGTCCACGGGGCAAGAAGGGGGTGGGTTTTCACTAATAGAGAAGGAGAGTACAAATTGAGATTACAAATCGCTCAAACGAACCAACTAATCTCACCAACAAATCTCTCAATCTCTCAACCAATAACCCTAACAAATAGCTCAGAAAGATCTCTCTTTTTCTGTGCTCCAAAACCCCAAAACTCTCCTCACAAAACCCTCAAATCGTATTGGTATTTATACCAAAACAGAAACCCAAACAGACTGCAAATAGGAACCTGAACTTTCCAAAAAACCCGTCATAAGTCGACTTATCAGTCTGCATAAGTCGACTTGGCAGAGCGAAAAACAGCAACTGGAGAAGAGATCATAAGTCGACTTATCAGACCTGATAAGTCGACTTGGCAGAGCAAAAAACCAACAATCTAGAGCAGAACGTAAGTCGACTCATGCACCAACATAAGTCGACTTACCATAAGTCGACTTATGCCTGTGCATGAGTCGACTTATGACCAAAAATCTGCTTTTTCCAATTCTTCTCCACATCTTTATCTTTCTCGGCGATTGTTTTGGTTTCTCGAGGCGCAACATGAATTATGTTTATTTTGTTCTTTCAAGCCTCGATATGAATCATAGTCGTTCATTGAAAATTTAGTGAGTAATACTTCCTCTAATATGAGGAGGGTGTGTCTGCTCGTCGTTCATATTCTATTTCGTAAGCAACTAGACTCATTGTTTGTTTCGGTGATCATATGAGAATATCACCGCTAAATATCAAAATTTGAGCATCACCGATGTTCCCATCAGTGTTTGAAACTGTCAAATGCCTCTTTTAATGCACAAAAACTCCAAATCTCTGGTGAGAATTTTGGCGGGAAAATTTACAAAATAGACCGTTTTTATAAAGTAATTAGCGAAATATACCACTTTTGAGAGTAATTAGCAAAATAGACCTCTTTTTGACAAAAGATGTCGATTTTTTAAAAAATGGCTTCAGAAAACATACGGGACTACTAGTCCCGTATGTTTAAAGCTAAATTAGTTAGCTTTAAACATACGGGACTAGTAGTCCCGTATGTTTTCTGAAGCCATTTTTTCAAAATCAACCTCTTTTTGGCCTATTGGCCAAAAAGAGGTCTATTTTGCTAATTACTTTTAAAAGTGGTCTATTTCACTAATTACTTTATAAAAACGGTCTATTTTGCAAATTTTGGCCGGTATAGTTATATACTCCAGCTAGCCGTAACCTAAGAAAAGAAATACGTATACATGATGCGAAAGATATATGCGTGTTAAAATTAATAATGCCAACAAGCAAAAGAGAAAAATGTACATACTTATCGTATGAGAGGACTTCCTCGTATGATAATAAGATGACAATGATGTGATTTAATCTCCATCAAAGTGAGTAAACAAGGAGAAAGAAAGTTCATATGTTTCTAAATTAAGAGAATCCAAATGGTGATCCAGTGGGCTACCACTCCACGTACGTAGCTAGCCTTTTTGTCTCCAACAGCCTGTTGCTATTGGATTTGGGAGGGAGACTAGAGCCACAACATTCTTCTCTCTTTTTATAGGACAACCCAACAAATCCCCTCTCTCTCTCTCTCTCTCTTCCCATCCTCAAACTCTCTCTCTCTCTCTCTCTCCCTAATTTAATGCTATACACTGTTAGCTTAGCTATGATCCGCTCCATGTCAACCCCCACCTCCTCCAAGGGCATCGCCGCCGTTGTCGGCGTCGGTCCAAACCTCGGCCGCTCCGTCGCTCGGAAGTTCGCCCAAGAGGGCTACACCGTCGCCATCCTCGCCCGCGATCTCGGTAGCCTCGCTATGCTTAATTTAATTACAGTTTTATCTTTGAAGAAAAGAAGAGAGATCGAAAAATCACCAACATTCGAAAATAATTAAAATAAAAAAATATATAATGATCAAATAATTAAGTACTGCTTCTTTTCTTAATTAGTCCAAATTAATTTGAGTCCTATATATTCTGCATCTATTATAACATTTGTTCTGAATTAAAACGTAAATATTGTAGCTGCACTAGCTCCATGCAAATTAAATACCCAGTCTAATTGTAACTGACTAGTTAGTAAAAATATATATAACATGCAGAATGGAAAACTTAAAAAAAAAAACCCCCCATTAATTCCGTGCAGAAAAACTGTCAAAATATGCGGACGAGATAGCTCGCGAGGCAAAAGCACAGGTTTTCGCGATCAGGATCGACTGCTCGGACTCGAAATCGCTTCGCGAGGCGTTCGAGGGCGTGCTGTCGCTTGGATTCGTCGAAGTTCTTGTTTACAATGCTTGCCATCCTGTGGAGTCTTCTCCTCCGACGAGGTTTGCAGATGTGACGGTAGAATCGTTTGAGAAAGCAATGGCGGTTTCGGCTGTTGGAGCCTTCCACTGCGCTCAGCAGGTATTAATTAATACGATTCTCTCGTTTATGCGTGGGTTTAATCAAAATTTACGCACTTTTTTTTTTGGGAAATTAATTAAATCTTTAAATTTAATTTCGTTCGAAGGTGATTCCTTTGATGGTTGAGAGGGGCAAGGGGACCATAATTTTTACTGGGTCTTCGGCTTCTATAACTGGCTTCGCAGGCTACTATGAACTAAGTAAGTCATCACGTATTCCCCTATTCATTATCATTATTTTTAAATATTTAGTTATCGTTATTCAATGATAACATATTAATGCTCATTTTATTTTGTAATAGGTTGTGGTAAGTTTGCTTTAAGAGGATTATCACAGTGCTTAGCAAGAGAATTCCAAGCTTCGGGCATTCACATTGCCCATGTCGTTCTCGACGGAGCAATCAGTGCATCAAGGTGGGTACATTTTTGAGATAATTAACACCAAATTTCTTTAAGAAAAGAAAGAAAAATCTCAAATGGTACCAAAAAAAGATAACTCAAACTAGGCAGTCATCACAAAAATATTTGGTTTTTGTGTTTTCTAATTTTTGGATTATATTAAAATGGACCTAACTTCTAGGATGGTACGTGAATATCTCTAATGAGAAAGTATCTAGTGGCTTGGGTCGATGACATTAATTGTACGCTTAAAAGAATATCAAATCTTAGATTATAGAATTTAATTTATATTGATTCATGTACTGATCTAAGAGTTGATATCTTCTGAGTACACATTTAATGACATGGATCTAGACGCATGTGATACTTTTCTCAATTGAATGACTAATGGCCTAACGAAAGTTATTCATTATTGTATTGTTACAGTGAGAGATCGTCTACTGTAGACCAGAGCATGGATGGGTCCATGAACCCTGATGCGTTGGCGCAAGCTTATTGGCAGATTCACGTCCAAGAGAAAGGTGCATGGAGTCAGGAGATAGACCTTCGAGCTTTTAATCACAGATTCTAATAAAAGCACTTTGGCCCCGTTTGGCAAAGGGTTAATGAAGAGGGGTTAAAGAGAAGGATTAATGTACTTAGCCCATTTGATAATCCGAAGAACTAAATTATTAACCCGTTAAATAAGTTTTATTTTTGTCCTTATGATCAGTTTTAGTGTTTGGGAATAACAATGATTTTGACTATTTTCTTTATAATTAGAAGGGCTAACTCTTATTCCATCTAAATAGGAGTATTAATAAACCCCTCATTTTGAGGGGTTAACTCATTTTAACCCCTCTAGAGGGGTTAACTTAACCCTTCTATATTTTTTATGTTTGGTAAATTATGGAGGGTTAACTTACTTTAACCCTTATATAGATTTGTTGTGTTTGGCAGATTAAGAAGGGGTTAAGTCTCATTAACCCCTCACTTAACCCTTTGCCAAACGGTACCTTTAGGTTCATCTTGTTTGTGTATTGCAATTTTATTGGGAAGCATATATAATTCTTTCTTGATTGTGATTAGTTACGAAAAATATTTTCAATATATATGTACGCTGTGTTTGAAAAGAAATTACGTGTTTGCCTTGCCTTTTCTACCTTATTTGTGATTTTGTGTTGATTTCGAGTTATTCTGAAAGGTTGCATATATATATATAGAGAGAAATATGAGCATGCTTGGTACCAAGCATAAATTTTATGCTTGGTAGTGAGGTGGCACAATTCCCTTCACTCATTCAAATAGGGGATCACATTCACATGGGTTGAGGAGTGCATGGTGGTATGTAACTATTTGAATGAGTGGAGGGGATTATGCCACCTCACTACCAAGCACAACTTTTTGTGCTTGGTACCAAGCATACCCATTTCTCTCTCTCTCTCTCTCTCTCTCTCTCTCTCTCTCTCTCTCTCTCTCTCTATATATATATATATATATATATATATTATAATATATTCGTTACAAAAATTTCTCTATATAGCAAGAGGTAAGTCAGCTGTTACTGAAGTGATAGCGAATACTAATGAAATAAGGAGATGTTTGGCACTTCCGAAGTGAATTGAAAACATGTAAGTTATCTTTTTTTACAAATTACTTTCACATCCATGTCAATATGGTGAAATACAATATTTGTTAGAAAAATAAAATTATTGTTGAAAGGGCAATGTGAAAATGACATGGCAAAATATGATTAATTAGTAAATATAATTAAAAATATTTAATAAAAATGATTTACCATTTTTGTTACTTGCATGTGGCTTCACTACTTTTTCAGGAGAAGTCAAAAATGCATTAAATCCCGTGTGTCGATTTTCTTGCATTTCACTTACATAACCCCTTGCATATAAAAAAAACCTAAATTGTTAAAAAAATCACTTTCACCCTTCACTTGCATGCGAACAAACACCCCCTAAGTGAAAGCGTTTGCATCATTATTGACTCAACATAAAACTTAAAACTTTAGAATCTATCAAAGTGCATTATACAAATCCATTGAGCATGTTTAGTTGATTTCCTAGTTTCAAAGAAAAGAAAATACGGAAGGAATGTTGGATTTGATGTCCTAATAAGGAAAACATCAAAAGTTGATTTTCACACATTTCATAGATGGTGTGGGTGGGGTTGGGGGTCATTTCTTAAAATTGGGTCACGTCATCCAATAACATTGTGACAACTCATCTCATTTCTTAGTTTTAAGAAGCGAACCAAACAAAGTAAAAGAGACTATTATAAAAAATATTTTTCTATAATAGATTTCCTTGTTCTTTTAGCCAACCAAATAGCCCCAAAGAACAATCCTCGGATTCATTAAGAGGCAATCTGGAATCCATGAATTGAATTTATTTCCTACCTCAATAGGCTTCATATTTTTATATTTCTGCTAAAAAAGGACTGATGAAGTATGGTAGGGCTCGATTTGTCAAGATAAGCAATTCTCGTAGATAATATATGCCTCCTAAATTGGGAGCTATTATTGTTTCTTTGCGGCAAATAACTACTCATCTTAATTCTTTTAGTTTGTGATAATCCCATTGTTTCATGAATTTTCCACCATGCGTTTTGGGTTCGGATCCTCTCCACTAAAAAACTATGGAGAGGCCACTACGTTATTAGAATCATTGTTTGCCTAATTGATGGTTATAATTTGTATTTGAGTGCAAATTAGGTATGAGTGCAATACTTGGGGTATGGTGAGTGCTACATTTAGAATAAACCTTAATCACTCACAAAATAATCAGCAATTAGTATAAAAAAGAGTGTTCTCTTTGCTACTTCTTTTATAGTGAAGACGATCCAAATTCATGCGTCTTACATCAATTATTTTATAAGAGTAATCATTAAAAAAATTTAAAAAAATATGAATTATGATTTTTTTGATATGTGAATTACGATTTTTAGTTATTAAAATCCATAATTACCTTTTATTGGTATCTGAAATAATGAGTAAAGAAATGTGTAAAATAAAATAGTATCATGTACTAGGGAACCGTTAGTGAACCGGATGGTTGGGAGGTTCCAGTATGACTCTTAAGATCTTAGGTTTGATTCCCATATAAAATAATAATAATAATAATAATAATAATAATTATTATTATTAACATCATGTAGTAAAATATGAAAAAAGAAAACAAATGACGATGGTAATTCCTAAAATATAGCAATATCAATACTAGAAAAACCCTTATGTGCAGTTTATCTTTTATAAAATTGATTGGAAATATTTGAGGTTCCTTGAACTGTCCAATATTCTTTATTTTTGGAGGGCCCCCCACTCCCGTGAGAGTTTCTTTGCAGCTAGTTTGGTGGGTTACACGGTAATGGGAGAGAAATCGTGTCATATTTGCGTGCGCAAATGTTAATTATATGACACCAATCTTTGCATTTAATGTACTAACATGGTTTTGTCCCCATTCGGCACATAACATCGACACCCGCTAGCTTCTCCTTAGAATTGACGTAGCAACGTGCATTGACAAAAGAGTAGCCGACCGAAGAAACAGTAACAGTATTAACACATGATATTTTTCCCAAGTTCATCGTACCTGAAGATCAATATTCGGTGTTTTATGGCTGGATGCAACATCAATTTATCTTATGATATTTTTTTCAATTTACCTTATGAATAACGGCTGCAAACGGATCATGAAAACACAACATCTTATACTGTAAATCACTACCACTACGGTCTTAAAAACCACTATTCTTTGAAAACCATTATCACAATAGTGGAACCCCGCGTGGCCTAATTTCATCTATTGTATACGAAACGTACGGCAACGAATGACCATGGTTGGAGGAATCGGAGACGTCAATTGCTATCTAACCGGACAAGATCTATATCCAAAAATGGTATACGCATAACAGGATTTATATCAAAATATGAGCCAACTGTTTTTTCTGGAAGTTTAAGATAGCATGCATCAGATGGAGAAGAATCTTTGACATCTCCCTTTAACATGCGCGATGCGTTCATCGATCAAGTCATGCAGTACGCATGCGTAAACGAGGGAACAGGAATGAAGACAAAAGCAACAAGTAGGAAAAGACTTCTTGAAGCTGAGCTCTGAGCTCTCAAATTGAAAGGTCGTACCCATCTTTGGCGTCTCCCTTTAATGGGCCTCTATCACTCAAACCAGCCAGCGCAGAGCAGTAGACAGTAAATACTACACTTGATGTATTTGGATTCATGATGATCAGTCTCCATAGAATCAATAGTACTGAAAACGTTTTAAGGTGAGAAAATGATAGGGGCACACCCCAACTACACCTTCAACCACACCCCCTCTCTCATTTGCTACAGTGCACCGGCCCCACATGAGATTTTAAATTTTTAAAATCTCATGTGGGGCCCGTGCACTGTGGCAAATAAGAGGGAATGTGGTTGGAGGTGTGCCCCTAGTGCCACTCTTTAAGGTGAGATCGTTGTCAGCCTCCTCTCCTTTCAAATAGTACGATGGATGTTTCGAACAGTACGTTGGATGTTAGAAAGAACATCACAGAATCTAGTAAAACTTGGACCTGACGTGGATCAATTCCATCTTTTTAGTCTCACGCACATGCATCTACAAGGGAACAAAATCCTGGAGTGACCGTGTATAACGTGGCCTGACCCCAACCACGTAGGCGGGCAGCGAAATACCAAAACTGGCAGCTACAAGATATCTGTAGGGCTCAGAACGCCCTACAAGCTGCAGGGCCCTCTGAGAGGATTCACATTAAAAAAAAATACGAACCTAAAAGTAGAAGGTTTTCAGCATAATTTTCTAACTAATCAGTAGGTAAAATGTGGTATCCACGTCAATACATTCTGATGAGTTAAATCTATCAGAATATGAGATGATAAATACACCAAAGTTCTGAATGATGATAGAAATGCCAAAGGGCATTCTGATACGTCATCGTCGAGTTACATTCTACATGATGTAATGGTCCCCAGACAGTCACAACAAGTATACCAGTGATTCTTGTACTCGTGTTTAACTTGAAATTTAACATTAGACATCAAAACATTTCTCTTCACACATCCAACTCCAATATTATGCCAACAGGCAAGTCGCTCAAAGTCCTTGCCAATCATTATAAGATGACAAATGTCTTAAAAAGCCTCAGGGTCGTGTACAAAGAACAACTGGTTCGTTGTATCCAAACATGTGGTCCTGTGAACCATTGCTAGCTGCAGACAAGGAAGATCACAAATTAGATGAAGATGTCAACTAGCGCCACAAAATTGATTGTGCAATCAGATCTACACATACGTACAAGTAAAAGGTCGGAATCCGATTGCAGATAAAGTATAATTGAACATCAAGCTGTAATAACTAAAAGATCACCTCAGGCCAATAAGTTACAGGAGTTTGGTAAATTTTCCACTTAAACACGTTAAAGACAATAGATATTCTCCATGATTCACTAGTTATGAAATACATAAGTAAATGGAGCAATTAAATTGACTCTTGAGATTAGGAAACATCTGGAACACTTTTCAGCACGTACCCTGTTAGTTTTTTGTATACTTCAGTTCATCATACATGTTCCGAACTTCTTCTTCTTCTTCTTCTTTTAGGGGTGCTTATACACACTTCTGTTAACATTAGATGTTTATAGAGATTATACCTTTTGTCAATGCCAACAAACTGGAGATTTGTATGTATCCCTTTCGTTCCATATATAATGAAATCCATCTTAGGATTTGTGGTTCCAACTTATCCCATAGATACCACTCACTCGACATGATTTGGAGAGAGGAAAATGGAAGGGACAGTCTGGGACCATTCAAATTCCACTTTATCAAGAATAAAAGATGATACAAAATTTAAAGTCTTAAGTGATATCCTCTCTGCATATATGCAAATATGGTATGACCTCCCACATGTTACAATCTTTTATTTATCTCCACATGTATTATTTGAATAAAAATAAACTGGATAGGCAGTCAATCTATACATAAACTAGAGCTTAGTGCACTATAAGCCTCCGCCTAGTCCGCCTAGGCGGTACCTAGACCGCCTAACTAGCACCTAGCGCCTGGGCAGTACCTACGCTGCCCACTTAGATTTTGGGAGTATTTAGAGGAGCATTGTCTGCTTACGTGGATTGTACCTTTGAGATCTTGATCATGATTTTGTGTGATACAGCATCCACGTCCTTCAACCTTCTTCAAACTCCTTTAACCTCCAAAAACAAACACTTCCACTACCTCCTCCAACTTTCAGCAAAACCTCCTCCGCCACCACTTAAATGCCACCACTTAAATGAAGAAAGAAACCTACTAGACACCAATCCGGCACCTAACCTTTCTATAAAATTGATATTTACTATCATTTTTTATAATTAAAAAATAATAACAGAAAACCTCCTAGGCTCTAGACGTCAGGTCCAACGCCTAGGCTTCTAAACGCTTTCTATAATCTTGTTAGTTATTATTTTCGCTATTTAGTATTTAAGTATGCATGATTTATTGTGGGTCTAAGATTGCTATCTTTTTTTTACAAATTTATATGAATTTAATACATATTTTTATCAATTATTATAATTAATTAAATTAAAAAATAACCAAATGCCTATGCGTCTAAGCGCTGAACGCTTAGTCCACCTAGTGCCTTCTGTACCATTGGCTTAGCGTCTAAACAAGTATGCCTATTCATACAAATATAAATGCCCCGGGATAATTGAAGTTTACAATAGTATATTTCCCCCAAAATATATTTTACTTTATGCGCAGTATGTATAAAATTTCTAGTTTACATAAATGGATACAAAGTTACCAAGAAACATACGCTAAGGGCATCTCCATTTCAAACTTCCATTTTCCAATAAGTATACAGAAATTCAATTTCTAAGAAACACGCCTTGGCAAACTTCCCTCATTTAAAAACTTGGAATGGAAGTTAATCTGCATAATTATTAGAAAACGAACCACCCACAGTGAAAGTAGCATAAAAAAATAGGACTAATTACTTACATTTTTCTGTAGCAAGGAAAACATATGGACTGAAGTTACATGCTGAAGATCAATTATTGATTATGATGAGAAGCCTAGGACCGGGTAATGGGAACTGATTGCAAAATTCTTCTATCTTATATTTTCCTTTTACAAAAAGGAGGATGAAAAGCTTAGCAAGGGAACTTAGCCAGAGACTACAGACAATGATAGCATACCTGAGAAAGCCTTAAATGGAAGCAACAATCAGATAGTTTTGAACTTAAAAAGTGTACCAGTAAGGCCAGGAAGGCAAAAGTAATCTGCTTTCTTGACCAAGAACTTCTAACTTAACCAGTGACCGTAACCAGTACTTATTACGTCTTCCTAGTTCCAGTGAGGCTTAGGTGTCACATAACGGTTGGTGTGCAGAGGAGGAGAGGAAGTTTAGATGACACAGCCACTGGAATATAAAGCATGAAACAAGGAGGGGAATGATGCAATAAGGAAAGCACATGGACTGAATTTACATGCTAAAAGACCAATTGGAAATTATTGATGATGATGAGAAGCTTAGGACTGGGTAAGGGAAACCGACTGCAAAATTCTTCTTCTCTCTTATATTTTCTTTTTACAAAAAGAAGGATGAAAAATGTAGCAAGGAAACTTAGTGCAGAGGCTACAGACAAGGATAACATACAAGAGAAAGACTTAAATGGACGCAACATTCAGATAGTTTTGAACTTAAAAGTGTATCAGTAAGGCCAGGAAGGCAAAAGTAATCTGCTTTCTTCACCAAGAACTTCTAACTTAACCAGTGACCGTAAGCAGTACAATTTAATCTTCCTAAATCCTAATTCCAGTAGGGCTCAGGTGTCACATAATGGTTGGTCTGGAGAGGAAGGAGAGGTAGTTTAGATATCACAATCACTGGGATATAAAGCATGCAACAAGGAGGGGCTCAAAATATAATTTTAGAACCAGACTCAACTAATTGTCTAAAGTACGAATTTTGACCAAGAAACTTCAAGTAGAAATACAACCAGGAATTATTCTAAAGTAAAAAACTGATCCAGGATTCTCTATATGATATTTTGACAGAAATAATGTGTGCCGCGCTGTTACAACCTTGTATAAACAGATGAAACTTTCAGCTTATAACGCAAAGCATATAAAATGATGCCACCTGTCAAACATAAATAATTGGTATTTTGTAAGGGGAGATGTATACTTATTTACATTACAGTTCCTTGTTAGTTCCAATGCAATGATAAGAAAGATAATCAATCCAATCACCAACCTATAATAATATCCATGAAGGACACTTTTGCCCTACTGTAAATTGATGATGCTATTTGTATGCAATGATACTTAAATATCCACATATGTATGTAAGAATAACTTACATATCCACATATGTATGTAAGAGTAATTCACCTTCTGAATATTCAAAGAATATAGTGTATGTGATTTTAGTCGAACAAAATTATATTCAATTTCCATTTGGTTAATTGTCACATTCTTTAAAAGATTTTCCACATACAACCAAAAAGTCAAAACACATAAAGAAGATGAGTAATATGAGATATACTGTAGGAAATTCTAACACCTCTCCCCCTCATTAACTATGATGGACCATCCAAATTGACAAGGAACACAAATTATCCTTTCTTCTTGCCTTATCAAAAATTAGGCCTCATATCTTATTATCAAAATATTGTACATGTTGCGACCACTTGAATGCTGTCAAGTTTGTAGCCACATGACGAATTGGTGAAAAATCTTCAAACCCCATCATTTTTCACAAACTCTAGGTTGACGGAGATCAATATGGTTGCTTTGGGTGATTTACATATAGTTTTTATGTGAAAAGTCTTGAAAACAACCCCCCC